GACACTTGCCTTCCCTTCACCTCCTCCACAACAGCAAGAAGGATCTGGAAGCATGCCTACCTTCATGTTCTTTTTCAGTTGTTCCAACTTTCTTGATCTTCTTGGGCGATTTCATGAAGAGAGGAAAGATGGTTCTCAGACCCAGGATGTCAACAAACTTGTGGCAGTTGTCCGTGCCCTCCGGCCCGATCATGGCGTGGGCCAGCACCTTCCGGGCGCCGCTGCGGAAATCTTCTTCTCTCTGCACAGAGCAAGAGGCAAGTTAAACTTTTCAGGGACCACGTTGGTTTAAAGAGAAAGCATGAACCGACAAATGCGACAAGGAAAGTACAAAGAGTCTGAGCACAAGCTCTAATCAAGATTTTCTTCAAGAAGCAAAAACATTACATCAACAAATACTCTTTTCAAACCTCCGGTTGAGAATATCATCTCGGTTATTTATCACAGCAGGGCACACCGGGTTGGGTACACAAGGCAAATACCGCCACACCAGAAAGATCAGGAATTAGATCTAGCAATAATTCAATTTAATAAAGGAGTAAGTTTGGTAAGCACAGCTTGGTGGTCAGATATAGTGCTGAAAATCCCGTCTCCAGAAATCACATTTGGAAGGACACGGACAGATTCTGGGCAGCTCTGCTTTAATGCGAGCGCAGAACGCTGACGCTGGCCGCTCACGCTGATAACACACAGATGGTCTGAAAACGATGGACCTTTTAAACTAGAAACAGAGGAATTCATCATTCACCCAGGGGAAAAGTTAAAATATCCTGTGAAACGTGAACTGAAAAAAGCAATCGCTAATACAGCCGCTAAAACCAACAGACCAGGTAAACACCAGCAGGAGCCAACGCGTGATGAAGAACAAGAGCCCCCGGTGCCCTGAAGCCCGGGCGGGTGTTCCCCTGGGCAGGGCCCCCACAAGCCCCGGTGCACGGCCATCTCCTCCGCTCTTCTCCTCCCCAAAAGAATTTATCCTCTAACAAATGCACAGCTACATGCTCAGGTGAAAATAACCCCCAGGAGCGAGCGTGCTCTTCCCTGGCGAGACAGGGGAAGCGCAGCTCTCTGCGGGGTGCGCCCAGGGCGAGGGGCAGGGCTGGGAGGGGCTCAGCACCCCCCCTCCCCTCCGCGGGGAGCTAAAAATAAAAGTACTTCGTGGGCCAGACAACATAAGAAATGTTTTCAGGGGAAGTAATTGCATATTGATCAGCATTTAGGAAGGCTGCACGGAGCTGATCTCTGGAATATTCATCGGGTCTAAGTTCAGGCTTTTAGAGATCGATAGCTGCTTGACTGGACTGTCTAGAGTTGATTTTATTTGAAATATTTATTCTGCCAGAGGGCAAGCAGTTTATCTTAGTCTCATCTGTGCTTATTGAGGTAACTTTTAGCTGAACACTAATTCAAAGACAAGCATACGTGTGCATCAACAAATAGGGAGTGACCCGAGCCTTCACAGGGAATTATGACTTTATTTCCTAACCACTGTTTCCTCCTTTTAATACCTTTACATCCAAGAGAACTCTTTAGGTACCTTTATTACTTCAAAAAGAAGAGGTGCTAACAGTATCTGGACCTTGTACATTAGCATAACACCATCTCTCTCTTAACAAAATACTAGCAAAAGCAGAATATTACATTTCCTAGGAAAGTGCTGCATGAAATGCTTCCGTTTAATTAACCAGAAGATTTAGTAAAGAGACAGGCGAAGCTTCCATGGGGTCATTAGGAACAGCAGGGCAAGAAAACATAAAAGAATTTTAATAATCATAAAAAATATACCCTGAAATAGCAATAGGCAAGCTTTGGGGAGCCACCCAGAGTTGTCCATTTTCACCTGGTTTTTGCTGTACAGGAGCAAGTATTTTGTGAGGGTCAAGAAAAGCCCCTGAACAGCTGCCGAACAGAAAATTGTATTGCCCGAGAGATGCGCGTTCCCGCGAGCTCCCTGCATCGCGTCTGTCCATGTGCACGCCCGCGCCCTCAGTTAATACCTGGGAAAGCCACACGTCATTTTTCCTGTGCAACAGAGAACCTTCTTGACACATCCCCCGGGAGCCGAGTGGCTGCATCTCCTCCAAACCTTAACACAATTTTAGAGCAGAAGCAATAAGCTTCCTGTCAGCCTGCGCGAGGGAACTGGCAGCACGAGCCTGCTCTTCTCTCTTCTGCCTTTGCAAGGTAAACTGCAGCTGGGTTACCAAGACAAGGCTGAGGAACTGCGTCCTAAAAAGTGCCTCCTGACTCAAACCTAAGAATTTAATTCTATGTGACTTTTATAAACTTTCCACTGGTGGCTACCATGTTGCTAAACCATCCCACCTTTGATAAAGACACTCAAACCGTGTGAGCCTTCATTGCTGCAGAGATGCAGATAAAATAATTACACATCCCCAGGGTCTCATCCCACTGCAAAACTTCCTACTTCATTTTTGCTGTCCCAGGCTCCATCCTTCTTGACGTGGCCTTTGCCCAGACCCCTCTGCTCACCTCCCACAGCCCTGCCCCATGACGCTCCGCTCCCCGTGACCGACTGCGCATCCCCTCAACACCGCAGCTCCGAGGCCGTGACTCCAAGCCAGGACACGGATCACTACAGGCACGCACGTAAAGCGCATCAGCCACGCTGTGCTCGTCTTCAGGCGGCACCGCTGCCTCCTCACAAACCAGGAGAGGTTCACGTAACCCAGCATCACCTTTTGGGGTTGGTCATACACCTGAAGGCTCAGTGTAACAGAAAGCAGTCCTGTTTTCCTTGCTGTCTAGAGGAATCTCTGGCACGTTAAATGCTTGGCTCGAAGATGCTGTACTTCCCTGCAGGTCTGTGTTCGTGACCGTTATCAGAACGGTGTGGCTGGATATACTGGGCAGCACTGGATACAGAATGCTGTGTTCTCCCAGACAGCGACAGAGATTCGAGTCTGATATCTCTATTCTCATGCAGCTTATCTGTCTCATATCATGTCAATAAACTTTCAACTTTGCTTACTTGTCCTTTCATCCGCGCAGACTATGGCACAATGATTAACTATCTTCAGGGTAAAAACACAAAATAACAGATCTCTGCCCCTAGTCTTCAGAGGACACCGACAGCAGAGAAAAATATTCTGCCTTGTGTGTGGGCGAGGTGGTCAATCACAACCGAATGTCGTTTCTAGTCTTTGCTGTTTATCACAAAGGTATCGAGAAGACACGAAAGCATAACCCTCCCGTGCAGCGTTCTACATCACGACTACCCAGGTTCAGTCTCCATTTTACGCCGGCCAGCAGAGCCCAAGGCGTGCACTGAGTCAGCCAGTCTCAAGAGCGGAAGGAGCTTTAAGCATGTGCTGAGAATCACTGATTTCACATGGTTTAGGTCACATGCACATATCTGTGCTGGAATCTTCAAGCTTCCTTCATTAGGAGTGTTAGGACAAGAAAAGGAAAATTGTATACAGGAATAAATGGACACATCGACAATAAAGATTGTGTGAGATATTAAGAGAAGTGGTTGGCAACTCTACAAAAGAGGAAAAGCACAAAGCAGTAATAAAAGTACCAGCTTAACGCTCTCAACTCCAGTTTTGAGAGTTCATGAGAAGCAGTTGTAGGACAAGTCAGGGCCAGAAGGGAGCCAGGTTGGGGATGAGACTCAAACAACCATCAACTCACATTATTCTCTCAAATAGCCAGGTAAGAACAACTTCAACTGATCTGGACTAGACTAGATGAATTTTCTACTTATCTGAACTGGATTAGATGAGTTCAAAAAAAAATTATATAAAATCAACTGCCAGTATAGTTGATGTTTATGGACAGTAGCAATATAAGCTTCTAGAAAATACTGCGTGAACTGTTACTTTTTTGCACTGTCACGTCACCAATCCCCGTCAGACTGCAGAACAAATCAGGCTCCTAAACATCAAAAGACTGAGGTCTTGGAACCTCCTTCCCTCAGGTACAGCTGCTGCCGGCAGCCAAGTCATGCTCTGTCCCTCCCCACAGCTAGTGGGGGGGCAGGAAATGCATCCAGGGAGAAACTTTCTTCTCTTCACAACTTTCCAGAGGGAATCCTGGTACAGACAGTGGTAAACAGCAGAGTCCAAAACCGGGAAAAAGCTATTAAAAATCCAAACACTGGGTCCCACCCACATGGCACAAGAACTCCAAGTAATTAGTTCTGCAAGGCTAGCTCAGCAGCTTAGTACTCGAGGCAGAGGGAGGCTTCCCACTCGTTTTTAGTTTTGCAGCTTTTCTTTCATTAGCCTCAAGAAAAGCCAGTGCTCCTATTTGAATAATCCACGTTTGGTTATTTATTCAGTTCCCTGCTGCTGCACATTACCCAGCCATGCGCTGCAGGAATACATCACTCCTCGTTGGCGTTGGCAAAGCAGCCGCCGCCGCAGCCTGGCGCAGCAGGAGAGCCCAGCCCCGAGCTCAGGGGAAGGCAGCCGGTGCGGGAGATGGCTCAGGACCAGGCTGCGAAGGAAAAGCGAAAAGCAGAAAAGCCCTGCCGTGACAAAACATGTCACCAAAAGAAACGCATACTTACGCCCATTCACAAAAGCAATTTTTGTGTCGACATCCACAAAAATGCGCCAGCTCGGAGGATAGACAACAGAGTGAAGCTTGAACTGGGAAACGTTTTCTCTAGAGACACCCAAAGGTTCTCCCTCAACCTCACAGTGGTCTTTTAAATCCTTGGAGGACTAGCGGCCTGACCTACAGCACTTTCATCTGGGTGTTTGCCACACAGATCTGCACTGTTACTGCCCAGCAGCTATTACTGCAGGAAACCCAGTTCTCAGGAAACAAAGCAAAACAGAAAGAGCAGAGCTTGCAAACCTGAGAAGGTCCAACCTAGATGCTGGAAAAAAAAAGAAGAGAAAACAGACAAACATGCCAACACAGAAATTCTATGAATGTAAAACCACAAGTAGAGTGGCAGAGTGCGTGCTGGTACGTCAAAAGCAGGCGAGGGAAGCGTGAAGTTATGTGGGTACCTGAGCATGAGGTTCATCAGCTGCAGACCCTCGCCCTTCAGGAAGCGATCGCGATTGGAGCTGAGCATTAGGCAGGAGCAAAGGGAGTCAAAGAGGTTCTCCATCATCTCCTGTTCTTCTGCTGTACTTGGGTTGTGTCGTTTAAACACCTGCACGACAAAGAAAGCAAAATTACCCCAAAACGGAGGGCCCAGTTTGGTCCATGCTGTTATATACATGAACATTTTGCATCACAAGCCTGGAGCACGTGACACGCAGGAGCCAGCGATCACACCCGCCACCAACACGCTCTCTCCTGTTCCCTTGCTGCTCTGTGCACGCCACCAAACACGCAGCAACGTAACGCACCGCTTAAAGGAGCAGCTAAGGGCCTCCAAAGGGAAAGGCAAACTCAGCAACTGTGCACGAGGGCACAGCTGTCACCAGAGAACTCAGCACAGCACCTCTGTGAGGGTGCAAAAAAAACGGTGCTGAGCTACGAATGCCTTCGGTCAGCTCGGGCACAGGCCCAGGGCAGCCCAGGGCTTGGCGTGGAGAATGCTGAAGGTGGCCAAATTCCAGCCCTGCCTATCTCCAGCTCGCCAGGCGATAATAACAAAATAATTTAACTTCTGCGCGCCTCAGTGTCAACATCTTTAAAACGGGGATTAACCTCACGTACCAGGGACGGCACTTGTGTGGACGTTACTCAGGGACCGTGCCAGCGCTACCCACAAAGCCCAGCTGTGCTTCTGTGCGTAAGGATGGTGAGGAGAGCGCTACCCCCAGAGTTTGTCCCACCTCCCCCCACCCAGCCTGCGAGTCCTCTGACGGGAGAGAGGGCGTATGTGAATTACTCACAGATAACTGCTGAAGCAGCACATCGATCCCATCCAGCTCCCCAAGCAATTCTCTGTTGTCTAGACGGAGATGGGGGGAAGGGGGAAAAGAAAGAGAAAAATGAAGCTAACTGTCAGATTTTACAGCCATCTAACACTGATACATCAGTGAACAAAATCAATACGGCTTGACAGAGTACAAAAGCTGCAGAGAAAGAGGGGGTGCACGCGGATGCGAGAGAGCACACGCGTGGGAGAGAGAAAGCACGAGCGAGCGGGAGCCAGAGGCAGAAGAGCGCGGCTCTGATCTAAGGCAGCCTGGATCCTACCCCAACAGAATACAACACCAGAAGCACGTCTCACCATCGTTGTTCTGGAGCAGAATAGCCAGCACCTCGCTGCAGTACAGCTTGTTGGCATCAAAAGGCATCTTGGCCTGGAGGGGAGGAAAGAATGAGAGACCCGTCAGGGCACAGAACACATTAACCAAACCCCTAGACGTATTTTGGTGTAAGTGTTGCTCACACAACAGCGCTAATTTCGCAGCATGCCTCCGTGACAAAGCTGTGGTAATTCCCTCTGATTCGGGGGGACAAGGAGTGTGTGTTCTCGTGCACATAGGTGCAGAAACTCAGCTCTGATCCTTCACGCTGTTTGTACGTCAGTAGGTTTGACCAAGTTGGCTCAAAATCCCTGAGAACAGTTTCCACTTGTTGGCAACCCGGAACATCTTTCCTGGGATAAATTTTCTCTGATGTTATATGAGTGCACAGGGCTTACACCTACTTTGAAAGCCTGCACCTGTTGCTGAAAGCAGAATTTCAGAAAATGTATCGCAGTAACATTAATCTATAACTGACAGAGTTTTGTATGAGAATCACAACGTCACGATCAGAAGAAGAGGAGATGGATTTAGCCTGCACGCTCACTTAACTTTAATTTCATACCTTCCCTCCATGCCCAAATATGTTTAAAAAACACAAACAAAAAAACACAATGAAATCAAAACACTGAATTTGAATAAAAGACCACAAATCCCCAGGATTCCGAACTGGATCCAATGTTTTTGCCTACTGCCAAAGCTGTTTCATCTACAGAAAGAGACTAAGTATTAACTGATCGGATAATAATGCAGACTGGCTTACTGAGGGAATTCATAACATAAACAAAACAATTAAAAAATTATCAGTTACTAGCTATTTGTATTCCGCTGTTCAACAGGGGGAAAAAAAACCCAGCAAGCCATAAGTACCAGGCGTACAACAGACCATTTGCCACCCACAATTTTTCCCCAAACCGCGCGGCTCCCTGCAGTGGGACACAGCGAGCTGGCCCCCCACGTCTACATGGGAGCCAATTATCCCGACCTGCCACAAAGAAAAGGTCACGGCACGCAAGCACTGCGCAACACAGCATCGTGGGAAGCAGAAGATCCCCAATGCCATGAAGCCTGAGCTTTAGGCGAAGCATTTCGCCCCGAATGCTCCCCAGTCGGGGCGTTCCCAGCAGCCCGGTGACAGGCTCTGCAGGTCCCGTCACCACACGGCCCCATCGCCGCACTACAGTAGGAACGGGTGCTCTGTTCTCTCTCACCAAACCCCGCTCCTGTTCGGGGAAGTGAGCTCTTAGCTCTGTGCCCGAGCTGTCCCAGGCAGTTCTGACAGTTCTGCAACCTGAGCTGAAGACAGAAATCAGAAATCCACGCTCCGTGCTGCATGCCAGATGTCCTTGCCGACGCCTAGACAGAACCCTGATTCCAAAACTCATCCTGCAGACATTGTGCAGCTGCACGACG